AATTTTGAGAGATGAAATAAAGGGAAAGTTTTTTTTTTTTTTTTTTTTTATTGAGAAAGTATTTGCTCACCCAACCAAAAGATTGGAATCAGGTGTTCCAATCACTTCTGTTGCCACAGGTGTATAAAATCAAGCATATTGACATGCAGACTGTTGAACAAACATTTGTGAAAGAGTGAGTAGCTCTCAGGAACTTGAAGCTGTGATAGGATGACATCGTTGCAACAAGTCCAGTTATGAATTTTCCTCGCTACTAAATATTCCACATTCAAATGTCAATGTTTGTTGAATCTAAATGAAATGGAAGTGTTTGGGAATGACGGAGTAGTGTGAAGAGGTCACCAACTTTCTGCAGAGTCCACCTCAAGCGGCCTTCAGATTACCTCAAGAAGTTTGGTTTGTGGAATGGGTTTCCTCTTAGATTTAGTCTTACTTTTACCGTTCAGGACAAACTTTTTTATTAGTTTTAGTCACATTTTAGTCATTACGATATGTGATTGTTTTATTCGGCTTTAGTTGACTAAAACTCAAAAAAGGTTTAAGTTTTAGTCAGTTGTATGTTGTACTTCATAAAACAGATAACCTTTACAATTTCAAATAACAACCCGATTGTTTGGCAGACTGACAGCTCTTGCCTACATATTACAATTGCTGGAGATACAACGCTGCTGTGCAGCTCATCGTTGCTGTTGGGCAGAAAACTGATTTATAGAATTCAAATAATCCTTTTTTGTGAATTTAATGCCCTACTTTTTTAAAAAGTGTCTCGCAAAAGTTGCAAAAATAGCAGATCTAGTTCAACACATCATATTGGTTAACATAGCAGACAGACAAGCAAACAAAATGTACAATAAATGAATTGTTTTAGACATACAAGGTTTCCGTTCAAAAGCGAACACTTCCTGATCTACTATGAATTATGCATTACACACAGATCAATAAAATCTTAATTACTCCAGAAAAAGCAAAGAATCAAAATTACTGTTCTTCCTACTTTGGCAATTTTGGCTTTATTTCTAAGAATTTGCCCCTTGATTACCACTGCTTAAGGGTCAAAGTAGATTTAAAGTTATAGGAGTCAAATAAAAAAAAAATGGAAACTACATAATTGCCTTATAATGCCATGGTAATATGTTAACTAAAATGGAAACAAGAACTATGAGAGGGAAATATTCAAAAAATCTATGTACTTTTTCACCTGGCTCTTTATCAAAAAATAAACAGCATGCAATGAAATATTTTCTTTGGATATAATTTAGGGATTCCTTTTGGTAGAAATTCAGAAGATTTTGCATCACCTCTTGTGAGCTAGAAAAAATAAAATCTTAATAGTTACACGAAATGATTTTTTATGCTTGGCAGAGGATGATCAGCCACATATAGTTTATTAAGAAGCGAGGGCAGGAAGAGCTACACTGCTGAGAGCGAACTATCAGTTTGGAGAGCAAAGCTCAGACTCTGACTTACGCACATGCAAATATGCATTTCTGTAGAAGCACAGCTGGAAGTGCAGAGTTTGTCAGAGTTCAGTGTGCAGTACCAGACCATTTCAGCTTATTTTCACCCCTGTTGCTGCTGCCATGACCCATCTGTGGTCATGCAGAATGTGCACCGCTGCACGCTAGATGGGCTATTTAACCAAAAAAGACTTAGCTGCACGGTTGACACTACTTAGCAGATTAAACCACAAAGATGCATTTTAAACGTTTGCAAGTGTCACGTCAAATCATGCTTTGGGTATGTTTTACAGCAGTCGGGAAGATGGTGGAGGGGAGGATGAATAGTATTAAATTCAGGAATATTTTTCAACCACACCTGTCATCCTGCCTGTGATTTGAGACTGGGATGGAGGTTGAACAAGACATTGACTCAAAGTATCATTTTTAAGTAACACTTTGTTTTAAGTGGAAACATTTAAATGTGTTGGAATGGCTTACTCAAAGTCCAGACTTTAATCCAAGTAGGAATCTGTGGTTAGAACTGAAGATTGTTGTTTTCATGGTTTATAATTGTGGATCAACATGTAGACTAAGGCTTGGGGAAGGCATTTTAAACTTGAGGACTTAAATGAAATAAACTGCAAACATCAATACCCAGGGTGAGGAGAGTGAGGCATAGGACAGGCAAACGGGGTATTGAAACCAGAGACAAAATAAAAACTAAGAGAGGGCTCAACATAGAGCAGAGAACGAGGAATGGAACCGATTAACTAACTGAAGGCGTTTGGCTGAGTAAGAATATAAAATAGCCTTCAGCGGCTTTCACATGCCGTACGCTCTGTCGCTTAGCAAATGTGACAGTTGATACACAAAGCAAGAAAAGTATGAATGCCGAACTTTTCAAAACAGTTTCTTTTTAATTTTTTTCTTTTTTTCTTGTAAAGGGAACAAATCTACACTCATGAGAATACAGAGTGGAATAAAAGTGACCAGGAAGATGAACAAATAAAATCAAATGTAGTTATATACAGTAAACCATAGTAAGCTAAATAACATGCTGCTTTTATTTCGAACATCTTTGGTGTTGCCGCTGTTTTCACATATTCATTACTGTAAAAATGTTCATAGCTGTATATTCGTTATTTATTTTCTAGGAGCACAGTTTTTTTTTTTTTTTTTTTGTTAAAACCCTTTACAGTACAGTATTTTATTGTTTATCTTTTAACTCTTCATTATTATGTGATTCTTACACATTTTTCTAAGTTCCATATTTGTGTGACCATTTTTTCCTATAATCTTTTTGCTGTAAACACCAGAATTTCCCCATTGTGGGACAATAAAGAGATTTTCTATTCTATTCTATTATTTTCTATTCTATTGTATAAAAGGGGTAGAAATATGTAAGTAAATCTAAACGATGTATGTATAAGAAATATATATCTGCAAAAGCTCTTATATTCAACAACAAAAAACACTTAGTTAAGCAAATTGTGCTTAATAGTAATTAAAAAATAAAAAATCATATCAGTAGTCCCCACACTGATGATATATTAGAATCTGTTCTTAAATTACAGCCAAACCCATTTACACAGCAACAGATAAAAAGCTTTAGATAAACCAAAAATTACCGCCACATATCTGACTCAATAACCATTAAAACAACTATTTTCATTCATTTCAGACGGAACTATTCACATTCTTGTATTATATTAAACTGAACTTCCAATATTCACCACTGTTCGGCGCCAAGTACCTTTTTCCTCTGATCACGGAGCAGCCGGCTTGCTTTGTCTCGCAATGAATCCTGGGATAACCAAGGATAGAGAGGATACACCGGACCCGTCCTTCAAACCGGGCAAAAAGAAGGACGCATTTGTTGGCCGCTTAACTAAGACTCTTGGGATCCGACCAGACCTTAGCGCTGTGCTATGATGTATTCGGCCTTCGAATCTGGCCTTCAAAGGAAGCATCCCATAAAATGAATGCAGCCCATGTGTATTATAAATATAAATGTTCAACAAAAATATTAAATTAATAGAACTAACATAGAAACACTAAAAAATAAACAACAAGGAAATAAACAGGTATGAGATGGAAATCCAAAAACACCTATCACCCACGGTCCGTGGGAGCTTTTCAAAAGCAAGCAGTTTGGCTTGAGGAATTAACAAAACTCCCGGCAAGATGTGGCAAGCTCTTAGAGGATTTGCCTCACACGGTTATTCAACTAGGTTTGGACTTCAGGTTGTGGTGGTTTCTGCTATTTTGTCCTATTTTTTTGTGTGTGTGTCACAATAAACAAAAAATACATCTTTAAGTTCTGTGTGCTTCTTGAGTTTTTATGTAACCAAACATGAACAATTCAAAGGGATGTGGATATATTAGGAAGACAATTTGAGTAAAGAGAGCACAGATGCTCTGCTTTAATCCAGTCACATGCCTCAATGTAGGACATGACAGACAGAAAACAGTGCTGCAGTAGTTTTTATTTATTTGAAAGTCCTACAGTGTTACAATAATAGCCTCGGATCCTATTTAAAAAAAAACTAATTTTAATTCAAATAAGCTGGAAGTGCAAAACACAACAGTTGGCCTCTTCTATGACGCAGGAACCATATTCAAAGAGTTGAGTTTTGACATGAAAACCTGCCACTGATCACCTAAAAATCCCTTGATCAGGCACCGAACTGCTACCAGGGATCACATTGAGAAATCCCTAATTGTTTATTAAATTCAAATTGGCAAATTCTTCCTCTTTTGTAAAACATAGTTGCACTTTACAAACTATTGATGCCTTTTAGAAGTCAGGGTTACAATCATTCGCTAAGCATCTGAATAATAAGTAGTAGGCAACTCTTTCTCTACCGTTTTTTGTTCGACATGGAAACAACGTCTCATACCCTAAATATAAGTATGGTTTTAATGTACATTTCAGGAAGCATATTTAAAAACAATCTCAAACTATTTGCTTTGACATTGTATTACACATATGTTTTTTCCTACCTCTTTAAAATGTCTTCAGCTAGAATTAAATCTTATGCCTGATAGGTTACTGGAGTGTCCGGCTCTAATATTTCTTCCCCTGTGATCGATTGTATATGCTAAAATAGAGACAAAACAACAAAAGCAAGGAAGTCAAGCTCTAGCGTACCCTGGAGGACATCCTTCTTTCCTCCATGCTGTGGGAGGACTGTCACATTTGTATACGGTAATGTGAAGTGAATCAGTCTTAATATGGTAATGAATGTCTAGAATAAAATTGAAGAACTCAGTCAATTTACAAACTGGAAACACGAGCAAAGAAACTGGAATAAAACAGTTAATAATATAGTTCCTAATAATATAGTAAATTGAGCTGATCATAAGCATCTAAAGGTACCAGTGCTTCCTTACGCATAAAGCCATCCTCCAATATGTAACAGAAGAGGAGGGGCTGTTTCTGAATTTGGAGGGCAGCTCCCTGGCTGCACAGCAAAGCACCAGCGTACCAATCAGGTGGCTGTGGTGTTGGCTTCCATTTGTTTTGTATACCGTACCTCTGTCCCCTCCCTCCATGTGAGCTTTAAAACCAGGGAGAGACGGAGTGTTGACTCCAGAGCCTTCCATCCTCCCTAATTGAAGCTATTAGCTATCAAAATCAACTCTCCCTGAAGTATTCCAGACTATAGATCGATTTATAAAAAAAAAAATGACACAAATTTGATTTAAGTAGAATCTCTTCTTATGTTTGCATTGGGGTCTTTCCCTCAACCATCTGGATGAGTGTTGCATGTACCCTTTTTTCCAGGACTGAAAATTATCACCAATTGATGAAAAAAAAACCTTTGTCTCCTCTTCACATCGTCACTAAGAAGTGACACGTACTGTTCCCTGTAGGTATGTATTCAGTGAAAATACTCACCCCTGTGCTTCTTGGTTATTCTTCCTTTCCAAATTGATGCATATGTTATTTTTTCTTTAGTTTGTTTTTATATCGACTAATGTCAGTAATTAGGCAAGCGCAGTCTGTTTGCATGTGGAGCTTCTTAGAACTCTGCGATATGCTAAATAAGAAGGCATGCTTATCCTAAAATAGCTCTGAGGTTGAGTGAAGCCAAAGATCTTTGTGGATGCTTGACCACAGATTTCTTGCTCTCTGTGTCTTCTCTATATGTGGTTCAATAAATTGGGCTCTGTAGAAGCAGAGAGTATCCATGTTTAATTCATGAGCTGGTTTTGTTTTGAAACAGAAGTTCATTTAATTCATTCAATTTGTTAATTGCAAGGCTTTAACAATCATATTCTGTTTGGTTTTGAGTGTTCTCTCATGCAGATGAAAGAATCTACCTGTGTCTATAGTAAAGCATAGGTTTTTACTTGTGTTTTTTTTTCTTTGTAGCCCTCACCACGAGATAAAGGCTACTTCATTTTGCATTTCCTTCCCACATAAGTTTAATCTTTAATCTAATTTCTGACTCATCGACCTGCATCCTCAGTATTTTGCCTTTAGCCAACTTTAGCTATTTGTACATATTAAGATTTTAATGTGAGTTTTAGTCTGTCCTGTATGTTAGAAAGGGGAATGTTTAACTCTTACATCTTTTGACTCACTTTCCTGTAACCGCTCTTTGTGTATCTTAAAATGGCTGATATATAAAGGAAGTAGAGATTAAACCAAAGTGCCAGTCTGAGTGGAAAATTACTGAAAGGTGAACAGATGTATGTTTGATCCTGAACGCTTTTGTTTTACAGAATTAAACTGAAATTCTGGACATGTTTTGAAAGCAACACTGCAGGAAACTCTTGAGACAGAGATAGAATAACTCCAAAAAAATTTATCTAAACAAACAAACAAAAAAAAACAAAAAGGCAACAAAAAAACAACAACAAATAGACCTGTTTTTGGAGCTGTTTTCCTAACTTTGTTATCACCATAGAGGAAACCCAAACAGATTATTGTGCCTGATATTCGAGGTGCAAAATATATTGTCATTGGGCTGTTAATCAGCAAACACCTATCCATCATATTTATCCTGAAACAGTAGCACAGAGAGTGATTGCTAGGGATGGGAGAAAATCCATCAGCTAACAAACAGGCTGCGTGTCTACTGTCAGCACTGGATGAATGAGGTAATCTCTTGATATGCCAAATGCATTTTTGGATGAACTGCTTGTCATGATGTGCTGTTACAGATGAGTTATTTGAATCTTAAAGCTGTGGATTTCGCTCTATTGCAGCTTTTTCAAAAATATATCATTGTTTACAAGAAAATAGTTTGAAAGTCTATTCATTACCAGGATCTATGTTTACTATGAACCCCAAACAGAAGAAATTACCACAGTTATTATTCCTGGGTTAATAATCCAAAATTACAAACTAGTGTCTGTCATGATTTTGCCCTTTGTGGACTTCTGTTTAAATTTCTTTTTAAAGGGGTAGTTCGGTATTTTTGACATGAATCTGTATGGCATCCCGATCACAAGCGACATGCAATCACACTGACTTACCCCTGGCAGCGTCCTGTGAGCAGACTTATCGTCCAGTTTTGGTCAAGTCAGTGTGATTGCATGCCGCTGGTGATCGGGATGCCATACAGATTCATGTCAAAAATACCGAACTATCCCTTTAAGTTCTCAGTTCCACTTTGATTTAGGTTATTCTTTGTTTTATTGATCATTGGTTTCTTTTTCATTTTGAGTTATCTTTAAGCAGTGTATGTGTTTTTTTAAGTAACTCTCTGTTGCCCCCATGTGCCAGTCTCCTTTCCCTTCGCTCCTTCTAGTTACTTCTGTCTACAGCTGCTCCTAGGTAATTAGTCCTCCCATTGTTTCTGTCTCCCATATATACACCTCCTGTTCAGTTACTCTGCTGTATCCTTATCATTTTTTGGTTTATTGTCCCGTTGTGTATCCTAGCTTTTTTGCTTCTTGAGTTTTCCTTGTGGATCAGTTCTTAGCTTTGGATTTTGTTTTTTTCACCTTAGCTCCCGTCTCTCCATTTGAGTCCTATAAATATCTCCACACAACCTGACAACATCAAATGTTGCGAATTATAAAATAGCTTTCAGCTGTAGTTTCTCATTTGATTTATCATACATAAAGTATTTTAGCGGTGGATTATGTCCACTCATTTCCCTTCTTAAAATCATGTGGTTTACATGTCTTTGTAGCCTGAGGTTAAAATCCCAACTTCGACTGTGCCCGATTACTTTTTATTTTTCATGAATATGCTTTTTTTCTGTTGATCAATTGTTATAGTTATTTAAAAATATGTTGGCTGTCTATTTTGATCTTAAATTACAGTTGGTCAGTCCAAAATATTCTTTGTGGTTCTTTGTTGTCAACAGCAGTGTCTTTAATATTGATATCACAAATAACGTTTTTAGACTGACCAACACAATCTGTTAGCTTATATAATCATGAGTTATATACGAATATTTTTGATGAAAATGGCTGTTATTTTTGGAATAAAACCAATGGATCAGTACTAGTACTAACAATAGATATGCTGTTTAAAAGCCGTAAAACCTGACGTTATCCAATGAAAAATGTCATTATCAATTGAACACCAACGTGAGCTTTGTGTGTTGCTCTCGTTCACGTTCTTTACTTTAAAACTGATCTGTCAGTTCACCGTTTCAATTCAGTGGACGCAGTTCATTGAACATCTTCAAACATAACACTAGCCGTCCCAGAGTTAGAATCCAAAGCTAATTGCAATCTCCAAACGGCATAATGATCTTAAAGGACATGGAGCAACAAGGAAAACATAGATGTGGTTGTGTTCCAATTGTCAACTTTTTGGCTGATCGGAACATAAAGGAGGACCAAATACATTAGCCGCATTTACACTACAAACTGTTGAGTGTAAATGGCAACTGAACCAGACCACGCCATACAAAACCAAACCGCACTAACATGGTGCTAGTTCATCAGTAGGGCTCCATTCCTCTGGCTTGGTTCTCTGATAACAAAGTGCGTATGAGTAGACTGCATCATCTCCTTACAGTCAGCCTCTGTAATCACGAAAATTCAGACATTCATAAAAATACTAGCTTCCCTACTGTGCCACACGATTTCCAGGGATGATTATGCTTAGGAGTGTGATTATCATTGTTTTCTGCTTCTGTAAGCCCTAATTAGACTATCATTTGTCGTAACCACTTCCAAAAAGCCGACTGTTAAGTAAATTCACATAAGGCTGCCTTCTTCGCCTGAATCTTAGCAAAGTTCCTGAATGTTACTGGCACCGCCATGTTGGTTTGCTTGTTTCCCTCTAGAGAGCAGTAGTACCGTAGATCGTCACTAGGAGGCGAGGAATCGTGCTAGAGTGTTGTGTAAATGGTTGTAAAGAATCAGCTTGGTTAACTGATCCAAGCTTGGCACGGATCCGTTTTCATAAGGTAGTGTAAATGGGGCTATTATGAACTGAGGTTTGCAAGATATGTGTAAAAAATTACACATATTTTCCACTTTTTGTGTGCTTTAGTTTCACAAGTACTAAAATATAGATCAGTTAGGGCAGGCTGAATGATTAAAGCACATTCAACAGTCAAAGTATATCTATTGCACACTCAGTACTGCGTCACATTTTTGTCAAAACCCCCGAGGGCAAAATAAACATCCTTGGAAGTACATTAAACTACTTTCGCACATGAATAGTTAGATTGGTATCACACACAAGTGCTTGCTCCTTCAGGGAAAGAAGTGCAGGGAAAGAAAAAGCACTCTTGTGTGACATATTTGGGCCTAGTGGTACTCTGTTTGCGTATGTAACACGTGAAACATGCCAGTGAAGAATAGTTTATGAGCGTCTGTATGAAGTAAAGTTGCTTGTAGGGAGCATTTTTTGTGTGTAACTTTTGACAGAATCCCAACGCCATACCATCATCTCGAGGCACTTTACAGAGACAATTCAATCACATTATACAGTTAGGTTGGTTAAAAAAAAATAAAAAAAAAAGTTTTCCACCTACAGAAAACTAGCTGATTTCATTGAGTCGTTGACTTTAAGCTCCTCCTGGATGAGCTTGTGATAATTATATTTGCTTGCATTTTGGTGTTGACTCCTCAGCAATTCCTCACACCAAACATGCATGCAGCCACACTGGAGAGGAAAAACTCCCTTTTAACAGGAAGAAACCTCCAGCAGAACCACACTTAGTATGAGTGGTCTTCTGTTGAGGCTAACTGGGGGTTAAAGGAGAGCAAATTAGATATAAGAGATGTTTATAAAAGCCCTGATCTACACAAACTACATTTTAGAAAAGATAATAGTAAACTAGCTCCACAGTTGACTCTGTATAGGAGAGAAGCAGTAAAGTTGATGAGCTATAAGCATCAGAATTGTTAAGGCACACTTAGAAATAATAATAGGCTCTTTGGCTGTTTTTGATCAGAGATGGCAAAAGTACTCACTTTCCGTACTTGAGTAAAAGTACAGATACTTGTGTTAAAAAATACTCTGGTAAAAGTGGAAGTACTGATTAAACTTCTTTACTCATGTAAAAGTAACAAAGTACAGGCTTTTAAATTTACTTAAAGTATAAAAGTAAAAGTAGAAACCACTTTTTTCATGCCGTTGCCTACATTTTAAATGGATGTCTGCCAATAGGACTAGATCTCCGTTGTGTTCATTTTCAATCATCTCGTCGTCCATGCTACTATGCTAACGCCACCGCCACCAAGCTGCAATGATTTGCCGCCAATGAATACCGCCGAATCTGTCGATTCATCTTGTAGTGGTGCGTCAAATGCAACGTAGATTCCCATCCAATTAGATTGAATTTGGTATTGATGACGTGAAAAATAATAACGGTAACTCCATTGAAATGATTCAAAACTAAAGTAACGAGACAATTTTTTAAAATGTAAGGAGTAGAAAGTACAGATATTTGTGTAAAAATGTAAGGAGTAGAAGTAAAAAGTCGCCATGAAAATAAGTAGTAAAGTAAAGTAAAAATATCAGAAAAATCTACTTGAGTACAGTAACGAAGTATTTGTACTTCGTTACTTCCCATCTCTGTTTTTGATTGATGTTAAGGTCACACAGACAAAATCCTGAGTTGAGTCTGAACATTAGTAATCACCTGCCTAGTAACGTAAAGGCCATCAGGTTTTATGTTTTTCTTTTAGTAAGGTCTTGCTACTGTTATTTTACTGCCTGCAAATATGAGTTAAATGTTAACTTGTCATCCTATAAAGAAATAATATGTCCATACACTGGATCTAAATATGTTGAAAGTTTTGCTTGGATTCAATAAAGACTTGCAACATCAGCAGAACACATGTGATTTACCCTAGATCATATAACGATTAGTTTTGACACCTTTTACTTGCATGCTTGAAAACTTCCAGTATAAAAGTTGATGAACATAACAGCCCAATGAGGATATGTTTCTGGATAGTAGTTGTGGGTCCTTTATAATAAACAAACCAGTATAAACTCTAAAGTAGGTCTCCACATATATACTGCAGATCCCCAACCAGGGATACCCCCCAAACATCTCGCTGCTCCATGAAATGTGTGGCCTACTGTTACATCGGAGTTCGGGAGGCCTACCAAAATAGCCTGTACTGTGGAAATCATAGACGCTTAAATAGAACAGAGAGGCCGTAGTGGAAAGGAAAATACCTTGCAAAGTTCACCAATGAACACTAAGTCAACTTTTACATTACCACTGGATTGAATTTCCATTTTTCATACTGTTAATCTACCTGCTGTTCTAGGGGCAGTAGTAGCTATGTAGCCCCCATAATAATTACTGGTCAATATTCAAGCTGTAGTTGGACTTTTATGGGGAAAAAGTTTCTTTCTTTGGCAGAACAGAATTTGTTTGACCTGTGTAAACGAAATGCTGAAGCTTTGTGTGTTTTCTGTTTCAGTAGTTTAGAAAGGCCATGTAGCATTCATTTCAATCAGGTGTAGAAAAGCTGCAATTCATTTGAGATTCAGTGCTGGCACAGACACACCACTGGCTTTACCTCTCACAGGCTGAAAAAGATTATCAGTGTGGATTTTTTTTTTTTGTTCCAACTGACAAAAATAGACAACTAGTATTAGAGCTATACAGGTGAATAATTCTTATTAACCAGACCTGGACCCATGAACAGTAAAAGTTTAAATAATTATCCGATATTTAGTTTTTTTCATCCTGCATCTGTCCTGTTGTTGCTCATTAGATGCATGGTCTTTATGATAACAGTTAGACATAGATAAACACAATTATTTTTTGTTGATTATAATAATGAGCAGGTAAGCTAAGCTCAGATATCTGCATCAGAAAGAAAACGTTTTCACTCACAGTTTTATTTATCAGAATAACCAAAAAACCTGTACACAGTTATAGGGAATTGATAAGTTGACAGTCTAATTCTAACAAAATATTAAAATTATTTGAAAGATAACAGTTGGAAAATGGTCCCTGGGAGCTTGGATATTGCATCAAGCTGTGGTCTCACCTTCTAGAAAGCAAAATTTTAAAAGTAATGAAGAGCTCACACTCCCCTACTAGGTTAGGTGTACATGAAAAAAAAAAAAAGGAAAACCGATATTTTATTATCGCCTCTGTTTAATCATAAGAACTCAAAATATTTTTCTAAATTAACAGTCACCAAAGTTTATAATTAACGCCCACATTAATTCAAAACCTGCGAGCACAGTTCATATTTTGCTGATTAGAGGCTGTATTAACGGAGGATTTCTAGTACTGTCTGTATGTCAGCAAAGCGTTGCTGCTCTGAAAATATTTTAAACATTTGAAACTAAGTTCATACATTTAAAGAATGAAATGCACAAATGAGGTTGTTAGGTTTATTCAATGATGATTATAAAATTAAAGTATATGCATATAGAACATTGAGAAATGAGATGCTTCACTCTGTCTTAGGGTTCAATCAGAAGCCGCTCTGTCTTGTGATTCAGTCAGTGGAGCATTCTGTCTTATGACCTGATCAATTGTCCTTTCAGAAAAATATTCCGTTTTGTAACCATGTGTTATGTTCTGTTAATAAAAACGCTCTGCAGAGGAGGTCCGAGGGAGAGAGAGAGTTGGAGTGTTGGGTTTGGCTCTCTTCTCCTTCTGCAGAAGCTGTTGTTGAAAATCCCTCTCTGTGGGAAATCAGTCCTTCTTTTACGAACCTACATTTTTTAACCTAACAGAGGTTTGAGGTGTAAGTTCTTCCTTATAAACGTCTTGAAAATACTCTTTTTGTGACAAATTAATTAGCAAGAAATTAACAGGAAAACAGAAGTAGTTAGAGGGGAAACCCAACTCCAGCAGCTGGCTGAACTAATAGAAAGAAAGGGCTGCCTTCTCCACTTCTTTGGCATCTTAGTTTTTTGGTTTGCAAAACAAAGTTCAGATGTTCCTGAAGTTATTATTATTTTTTTTTATGATTTAAATTTTTATTTGAAAGAAGAAATCCCCTGCAATTTTCATCACATTCTTCTCAACTAGCCTGCCTCCCATTTGTCATTTTTGCTTTAGTTTTGTAGTTCCCTTGTACAGTTAAGTCTGACTGCCTGTTTTTTTTTTATATATATATTGAAATATAAATGAAATATGCATTTTGTAAAGTATTAAAAAATCATACTTTTGTATGTACTGGGGGAGTGGTGGCCTAGTGGTTAGGACATAGAGCTTGGAATCCTGAGTTCGAGTCCCACTGTCACTCTGGCTCCCTGAGCAAAGACCCTTAACCCCACACTGCTCCCGGGCGCAGCACAATGGCAGCCAACTGCTCCCCAAGGGGATGGGTTAAATGTAGAGAGTTAATTTTGTTGCAACAGAATAATAAGTACTGAACAATCAAAGCATTTTCCTCCATTCTTTCTTTAAACAGGAAACACCCGCAGAACTTTCTCAGAATGGCTCTCAACATCCCGGGTCTAGTGGTAATGGCATTGTTCTACATCGTGATTTTGGGTACAGGCATTTGGGCATCCATGCGCTCCAAGAGGGTGGAGAAAAAATGCACAGGAGGCGGCATGGAGATAACACTCTTGGCTGGACGCAACATTAACTTGCTTGTTGGGATTTTCACTCTTACTGGTAAAAAAGTGCAAATGGCTTCAAGTTGGAAAATTTTTTTAAAAGTTTGTTTAAACCACACTATAATAAGACATTTATCCTTTTTTCTTTGCAGCAACGTGGGTGGGTGGAGGTTTCATTCTAGGGATTGCTGAGGCAACATACAACCCAACACTTGGTGCAGTTTGGGCACTCATGCCTGTGCCTTATGTCGTGACCTTCTTCTTAGGTGAGTGAAGTTTGGTGATGGCTGCCTGTATAGTGTCACCATAGTGATGACTATGCTGTAAAGAATTATGAGGCTATTTTTTTTACAGATACAAGAAGTGCCAGGTCTAACTGGTTCAAATGTCCATGTTACAAAATTCAATGAATTTATTTGGGATTATATATGAGTGGATTGACACAATACAACACATTACTGTTAAGTGGCAAATTATGCATAGATTCCCAACTTTTTAACAAACAAAATATGAGTTATATATATATATATATATATATATATATATATATATATATATATATATATATATTACTTGTTTTTCAGGCCTCACTATCTCGCTCCATAACTAATCACACTTGTCATCCACATATCTTTAGCCGAAATGAGAGGAAAGTGACACTCACAACTAACCAACTGGTAGGAACATAGAGTGCTGAATGGGTAAACATCATCTGAAGAAGCTTCCAGGCAGATAATTTACATCAAGGAATTGTAGTCATCGAGGTTCTCCGAATCATTCTAGGAATGATTTCAGCCCTAGGCAGATACAGGATAGCTGGTCAAGAGTGGATGAGAAGGTGTTAAAGTCCACAAAAGGCTTTACACTGGGACAGGGGTTCCCCTTCCTTTAGGTAAACTCTAAACTTACAACCAGAGCTAAAGTGAAATGATCTGGATTAACACACATTTACGCTGTAGAATCACAACGTATGAAGCCCTCCTTGTATGTGCTCTAAACTTGAGTTAAAACTAAACATGCAAAAATGTAAGCCTTTTAAATGCTTAGCACTAGGGAAGACATAACATTAAAGAACAATATAAACATCTCTTATATGCAAAGAAATTTCAAACGTATTCATTAATAGATTATTTAATGAAAGTTCCTGTAAGACAGTTAGTGCTAGATGTTTGCTTAGCAACAAACCTATGACAAGCACACACATTTTCCCGGTTATAATACGTATCATGGGAGCAAACTCAACATTAAATGTTCTTTTAGCTTGTTTGGAAAACAAACTGCATTGACATGAGTGCAGCACGCTCTCCCCAAGCTCAGTTTGACTGCATGGATCATTAAATGGGCTGCTCGTGATAAAAATAGGTCTGTGAGCAATCAGGCAGCAGGTGCAATGTGATGTGTTCAACCTAGAAGTTTTGAAGGTTATATTTGAATGAGCCAAACAAGCTTATTTGTTTGCTTGTATAACTTTACAGCAGCTAAAATAACCTACACTTGGAGTGGACTATGAGCTGTTGGAGCAATGCTAAGTGAAAACCCCAGTCTCTGAGCAGGAAATATACCATTCCCCATTCTGTGGTAGTCTGTTGTTGACCATAAGAGTGTTTGATCTCAGATCAAGCTGTTTATTGTGTTATCAGGAAGGAACATTAGTGTCTGCTATTGTTCACATATAAGAGTCCTTTCACTTTCCTGCTTTCCCTTTTCCTCTTCTATTCATCTGGGTGTTTAAATGACAGAAATATGACCAACAGTAATCTCTAGTTAATTTCCACATGTAAATGATCCTGCTGATCTCCCTCTGCAGGTGGCTTCTTCTTTGCCAAGCCTATGAGAGAGAACAAGTACATGACAATGATGGATCCTTTCCAGAAGAAATACGGGAACGTCCTGAGCAGTGCACTCATCTTTCCTGCGCTTGTGGCCGATGTGCTTTGGGTGGCACGCACACTTGTCAGCCTGGGTACGTTATGTCACACTGTATAACTGTCATTTAACTGTGTGCTGGATCACCCCTCAGTGAACAACATTTGCATTAATGTGAGAGTAGAACAACATTTAACACATCAGTTCATCAGTGTAGAGCCCAAAACAAGAAGCAAGAAAAACATGTAATAAAAAGGTTTACACTTTTTATTAATGAGGATTTAGCTCTGTCTACACAGTGTATCGGGTCATTTCTAACAACATACAAAGAGCTTTACGCAATATATTTTGAGATGGAAGTAAAACTTTAATTAATGCATTTCCTTTTATTTCAACTCACTCAGGGATAAATCATTCCTGTAATGCCATTTTAGATGGTTATGTACATTTTGCATTAAAAACAGCATTTAGTTTATTTTATACTAGGGAAACCAGATAATGAGTATTCGATGTGAAACAAAAAATGTCATCAGCCTGAAGGCGGACACTGTATAACAAAATATATTGATGCTATTAAGGTGAAATAAGAGGATGCTCTGTTCCTACATCATTTCCACAGGGTTCATTTGATTGACAGTGAGAGAAGAAGCCACATATACAATGCAAAAAACTGTAATCTAAATAACTAATTTTTCTTTAATTTAAGTGCTTTTTTTCTTCAATTGAGGAGGTTGGTGAGACACTGCCAATGAAACAAAATAATTTACATTTGACATAAGAAAAAACAATTATATTGTCTTATTTCACGTGCATATTATCCAATTATCTTATATGAAGAGTAAAAATACTCAAAAAAATACTGAAATATTATGTGTTTACATATAGAAATTAAGGCTAAATACACTTAATTTAAGAAATTTGTACTTGTTTCTAGATTTTTTTGTGCAGTGTAAGAGTTAGCAATTAAATTTAAATTTATTTATGCGATTGATATATCCATGAGACTGCACAAAAACGACCCCTTTCCCTCAAAATGTTCAGAAGTAGTCTGAAGCATTCTAACTCACCTGAACTTTTTAAAGATCCGGAGTGAATCTTCACTAGTCTGTTTCTCACAATACATACCTTGACCGACCCGGATGCTCCCTCTGGATCAGTACCACGCTGCAAGTCTGCCTTTACTTTGGTTGGTTCAAATAAAAAAAACACGTTGCAAACATATCTTTGAATTCATTGTGCATTTGTTTTTTCTCATTGTGAAAATATTTTAAATGTTTCATTTTTACCTCTGCATACTTTTGATTTTTAGAATTCACACAATTTACAGAAACATTGTTTTTGACTTTGTGTATTAATGTATCTAATGAATATATGTGCTGTGTGTGAGTGACTGTGTGTCTGGGTCGGGGTGCGGGAGTGAGATATGAACATTATCAACATAAATTATATTTTTTTTGTAATGACATAAACTAACTGAGATTCGGTTTCCATGTATCATGCAATAGGTTTAAACTAACCAAAGTGATTCAGTGTGTCAGCTAGTGGAGAATTATAATAATAATAATTATAATAATAATATATAATAATTATTATAATCATAATTTAAATTCTGTATTTTGGGAAAAACACAAACTTTTATTATTTTATGCACAAACAAAGTAGTGCATCATTGGAGAAAGCAAAAAGATGATTCTTTTTTTTTTTTTTTTTTTACAAACGTAAAACCCCAAAGATATGAAATCATGTTGCTTTTCACAGGCTTGCACTACTTTTTATTGCTCTATCAAATAGCTCAAATAAAATACCCTTTGACTTAAGAATTAATAAAAACTGAAAAAGTTGTATATGAATGTATATGAATATGTTTGCATGACATTGTAGATATTTTTTGTCCAGCAATTTTTGAAAAAGATTTGAAAAGCCCGAGCTATTAACAGCTTAAGAGGCTCTGCAACCGATCATTTTTTAAAAACAGCCACTGATAGATTCTCTTTTATCAATGCAACAATACAAAGAAGAAACTTACAACCTTTGAAAATTATCCCCTGTTGTTGCTTTTGGGACATTTATTCAGAGGCCTTTGACATGCAGTCAGGCAGTGGATATGCACATGCATAGAAACACTCATATAACTTCTATAAGTTCTGAGAGCAACTGACCCACTGCAGAGTCTGTTTGTGTAGTATGGACTGTCTGAATTTCTGGTTTGCTGATGGCTCAGCTCCAGGAGCTGCTCAACATCTAAAACACACTTTCCATGCCTGGTTGCATACCAGAATGCTATCAGCTCTCACTTAGTGTCACATTTCTGCCAGGAAGAAGTCTGTAATAGAACAGAACCAAAGCAAAGTGTGTGGTTGTTTGTGCCTGTGCATGCGGACATATTCAAGTGGATGGAAGTGGGACAAGAGTCTAAATAAAAACAACACAGGGGGCATATTGGCCCATCTCTGATGCTGCAGGTTAAATCTTCCAATCGTTCACATTTCCTCTTCCTGCATTCAGTACAGAGGAGTCAGAGCTCAGATAAGAAGTGGTCCGGTAAGCAGACCTCCCACAAATTATTTACGATGCAGCTGCTGCTACGTCATGCCACATCATATGAGTCAGTTAAAGAGCGGACAACTCAAGGACCAGGCTAGATCTGGATGTTCATGCAGACATAACTAGGTCAAGTCTAGATTTGGTTAGTCTAGTTTTAGTTCCTATGAATTTCAGCTCGCACAGATGCATTTTACTGTCTCTGCCCAACAGATTTTCATTTAAATAAAATAACAATGTTGCCCTACAATGAGGCGGCATCCGATCCAGGGTGTACCCCACCCCTCGCCCATTGACAATTCCAGATAGGCACCAGCACCCCTCACGACCCCAGCTGGGATAAGCGGATAAAAACCAAGAAATAAAAAACACATTTTCCAGATTTGATAACAATACAAAGAAGGGGAATAAATTCAGTAACCACTATATTCAGGTATTAGATTATAGGCAAAAGGACCATCTTCCAAACCATGTTAATAAATACAGAAAGTAAAAGATTTAATGTTTTGCAAGAGTATTTCATACTCCTTGAACATTTTTCAGCCAAAAGCTGTATTTTTTCGATGTTCATCAACCCAACACAGCAGAGGATACATGCTTTTTAAAGTGTTTCATCAGTCAATTGTATAGTGTACAAATGCATTCAATAACCCACTGATAACACTTTGTTGGACCACCTTTAAATAAACCTTCAGATCTTTTAGTGTGACTCTATATTTTTGCTAAATGGCTCCAGCTCAGTTTTATCAGAGAGAAAATATCAAAACATCCATTTGCAACTTTTACATTCTGAACCCAAAATTACCTTACACAAATAATATTCTAGATTTAGAAATGGGTAAACTGATTAAAACAATGACATCTATGCCATGTCATTCTAGCTGACTTACACAGAAATTGTAAGACATATTTATTAAAAACAAAATATAAAATAAAAAGAAATTAATCAGCAAAAATAATATATACCATCAAAAGTTGTAAAAAATAAAATATGCAAATTCTAATTAGATGGTCAAGACTTGTCAAAGCCTTTCTATTACTGGTGATAATTTACCCATACATAAAAAAAAAATGAATGAGGTATCACTGGTTCGAGCTTGTCTGCTTAACTGTTTCTTTTCTAGACAGAGCCACCTGAGGCACTAGAACTGGTAACTTTTCTAACATAGAAAGTATTTTTAGAGCAGTGCTTCTATGTTCCTCTTGTATGTCTGCTTCTCTCCCCTTGAACCCCAGTCAGCCTTGGCAGAAGGTTGCTCACAGGAATCCTGGTTCTGCTGGAGGTTTCTTCCTGTTAAATGGAAGCTTTTCCTCTCCACTGTCACTGCATGCATGCTCTGTGTGAGGGATTGCTGTTGAATCTTTGCAATCAGCTGGTTTTCCTTAGAAAGAAAACGATTTACCAATCTGCCAATTTGATATTATTTAACTGTCTCTGTAAGTAGCCTTGACATGATGTGTTGTGAATTGGAACTATATAAATACATCAAATTGCATTGAATTGAACTGAATCATGACTTGAAGTGAACTGAATTGAAAGACCTATATAGAACCAGTTGGTGCAGGCTGAACTCTACAGTGTCTGAGGTATATATCTGTCTTTGTTAATTCACACATAAGTTGTGTATATACATCTTTAAACTGAGATATTGGATGCTAATGGAGACATAGACCTATGAAAAATGTCTCATATGACCTGATTTTTTAATATCTCAGAAGATTCATCTGACTTTAGTTCCTTACCTCACTGTGTGTGTCACTATTTTCTATTTTCCTCCAAAAGTTCAGAGTTGATGTGAGGGACCATCCACTTCACGGAAAGTGAGATACAGACGTTTCAAGCCTTTTTTTTGTAACCAAGCTTGAAAGATCAGACCCTAGGAGATGAGCAGACAGGTGAAAACACAAGTAAACAGGGAATTCAAAAGTGGAGGGGAGATTTGTGACATGGAGAATAGGTGAGTACAATCAGAGTCAGAGCAGAGAACTGAACAAAAGGAAGAGTGAAAATTAGAATGGACAGAGGACCCAGAAGCAGAACACATGATATAAAGATCAATAAGAAAAAACGGATGAACAATAAAAATAGGGGGAAAAAATTAACACAGAAGAGAATACAAAATATGCTTAAAAACTCAACACTAGAATTAACATTTGAGAACAATAAATAAACTTCTACAGGGCTTAACTTTCTTCTTTTCATTCTTCACAACTTTCTTCCTGACCTGTTTGCTGTCTTCCTTGGTTTGTTTCTTGTTTCTCCCAATAGACCATTGAGATCTTCACAAGTGAATAGGGTCAATTAAAAGCATCTGAGGAGTTGTCACACTGGAATTCGTCTGAGTAAAGGGCAATGAATACATTTCACTACTCTCAGATATTTATATCTAAAGAACTTTCAAAAGCATGTCTCCTATACCTTCAACTCTTCTATCACAGAAAAACTCCCTAAACTCCTTTGGGATTTGTTGTTGTAATGTGACCAGAGGTGATAATGTCCAAGGGGTATGAACCTTTTTGAAGCATCTGGACAGTTTTGATTTCACATAGATGGTAAGGGTCTGACCTAAAGAGGGCTAATAGAGACAGGGAGGGTGGTGGGGCTAGTCAGTAGATGGAGGGTAGAGGTGAACTGTCCACAGGGTGTTAAGTGGCGATAGATGGTGCAGATCTGACACTTCTCTGTTTAAGGGCTTTGTTGTGGTGTGGCTGCAGGCTGCTGCAGGGGGATCCACGGCAATGTGGGAGAAGAGACGGTGAAGGTAGTGATGCTTTGCTTGCCTTGTTTCAGTAACAAGATGTCTTATTTATGCACTTGTTTATGCACAGATTGTTGATTTTATACACTTGTTTTATTACATACCTATGTCCACTGTTTTTCTTTAAAACATGAGAATTTAACTATTAATGAACCCAAGAGGGTGAAAATATTGTCTCAATCTGTAAGTACCAGCAGAAATATTTTTTATGGTCCTGTTGTATCTTTTCTGTTGACTTGTTGCTTTATTGCAGATTCTGAAACCATTTACAGGTTTTAACTATAGTCACTAGGCTTTGAAATATGTGTGTAAATTGGCTTAAATTACACAAAAGTATGATATGATATTCTTGTTGAAGTTAAAATGTAAATACAATATATTAAAATATGTGTACAAACAGAAGGGAATGCATCTAAATCTGTCTGTGTGAGAGAATGACAATGGACCTAACATGATCTAACATTTTATTAAGCAATCTCCTAGTAAAAATGTGCATGTAGCCACGGAGACTAAGATGGTGTTCATGTCGCTCCTTCAGGACACATCACTCTGCTGTGTTGTTCCAGGTGGGACCATGAGGGTGATCCTGGACCTGCCTTATGTCTACTCCATCATCATCTCTGCAGTGGTGGCCATCGTCTACACCCTGCTGGGAGGGCTGTACTCTGTGGCCTACACTGATGTCATCCAGCTTATCCTCATTTTTGTTAGCCTGGTGCGTAAATGCTAACCTTTGGGTTCAAAGCAGTAGTCTGTTTTTTTTTTTTTAAGGAGTTTAAAGGGAATAAAAAGACATTAAAATGTTTTAGATAAAGCCTTAAAGCCTCACCTGCTGGAAAAGTATTGAGATTGTGTTTTTGTGTTTACAGTGGGTGTGTGTTCCCTTTCTGTTGACCAATCCTCACTCCATGGACATTTCGCTCACAGCGTACAACCAGACTTTCCAGGCCCCCTGGGTGGGCACAGTGGAGCTCAATGAGGCCGGCAAGTGGTTTGACGACTTCATGCTGCTGGTGAGAGGAGCTTTGGAGGAAGGCTCTGCATTAATGCAGGGGGGGGATAAATGATATTTCCTGCCACCTCAACACTTAAATGAAGTATAGACAAGTTGTTTATCTTAATAAGCTTTTCATTAGGTGAGAGAACAGCCAAGCATAACAACAGTGGGTGTTTGTGTGTGTGTGTGTGTGTGTGTGTGGGGGGGGGGGGGTAGGGGGGGGTAGTCATGTCTCTTCCTCTTGTCCTATATTAGAGGCAATTTCCTGTCATCATGTCGGAACTGTGTGTTTTTTTAATCAGGCTCTGGGCGGATTGGCCTACCAGGCGTTCTACCAAAGAATCCTTTCCTCCTCATCTTACACCCAGGCTCAAGTGACCTGCTTTGCTTCAGCAGCCTTCTGCCTGGTGCTGGGTATCCCATCTATCCTGGTTGGGGCTGTGGCTGCATCTACAGGTGCACCTCTTTAACTTCAACCTGATGAAACGTACAATATGAAATCCTCCGGTTTATTGCCCATATGTGTATTTTCCCCACTAAGACGTTAGGATCAGCATTATTTCTGCATGGCTCTCAGTATCCCTAAATGTTTTGTGTAATTATTCCCAGACTGGAACTCAACTACATATGGATTGCCCAGCCCGTATGAGCGCAATGAAGCGGGATCCATTCTCCCTATTGCATTGCACTTCCTCACACCCACCTATGTGTCCGTCATTGGCATTGGAGCTGTTGCTGCTGCTGTCATGTCCTCCATGGACTCCGCCCTACTCTCCTCGGCTTCGTTGTTCTCTTCAAATATTTACAAGAACATCATCAGGAAGCAAGTAAGATCACGGGAGCATAATGAGTGAGCTGCAAGCTTCTATTTGACATGGTCCAGGTTTAAGACCAACATCCAACTGGGACTTTAATGTTTATTTTTAACGATGCTTTAAAACCAATGCAAGGAAACTAAGATTATTGTTAATGAAGAACAGGTAAAACATATTGCCTCTGCCTTTAGAACACATCAAAAGAGTTGCAGGTGTGATTATAATCAAAGATGGTTCCAGTATTGACTCAGAGGAACATATAAAGATCTCACTTTCCAGATTTGTGTTAAAAAAAAACACTGATTTGCTATTGTTAAAACCATTTGTAGGTCATATGTTTTTTTAGGTGAAATACCTGTGGCTTAAATAGGAAGTACAATCAAAATATTTACATTCATGTTTTGAGTGTTATACTCTCAGTAATACGATTAGATCTTTCCAAAGACCAACATTTCTCAAAGAGTACAATGCCCCCCTTATCAAAAAGGCCACTTACTGCACCATTAGATTGAACAGCTAAATGGTAAATCTCACAAAAAAGAAGTGAATTCACCCTCATTCCAAATAACAGGTGTAGTTTATCTTTTCACTTGCTATTATAGTCTATTCAGATGAAAGGAGAGTTGTTGGACCCAGAGAAACATTGAGGCGTAACGGCATTTCAGCACTAAATGAATTCTGCATCTGATGCTCCACTTTACTGTTGCTTTTCATGTCCTAACACAAAAGTTTTTATATTATTCACCTTTGTTATTTCTCCCTCAGGCCTCAGACAACGAGATGCAGTGGGTGATCCGGATCTCAGTGGTAGTGGTGGGTCTAGCTGGCACTGGCCTCACCTTCTTGGACAGCAGCGTCTTGGTCTTCTGGATCGTGGGCGTAGACATGTCCTACACCATAATGTTTCCTCAGCTGGTCTGCGTCCTCTTCTTTAAGGTGTCCAATGGTTATGGAGTCTGTGTGGGCTACATCCTGGGCTTCGTCATGAGGGTCCTGAGTGGCGAGCCACTCATAGGCCTACCACCCGCCATCAGATTCCCTGGCTGTCGGTTGGACAAGGAGGGGAAATTGACCCAGTTCTTCCCCTTCCGCACAACTATAATGCTCATGTCATTGCTGTCCATTTTACTCTTTTCTTGGTTGGCATCCCAAATTTTCAACAGAGGCCTTCTGTCAAACAAGTGGGATGTGTTTGACATCAAACGCATGGAAGCGCAGACGGCTAGGGCTTCAGATAGTAAACTCTCAGAAAGCAAAGAGGATGGCCCTGCAGCCAAGCAGCTGCTGAACACCACCAGTTTGTAAAGAGGCTGAGGTCTGTGTGCCATAGAGGGGGAACAATAAAAATAGATTCCGCAAAATGCACAATTTCTGTAAGTTCAGATATCGTAAGTTTATAATGAACACTTATGGTGATATGTCACTGGAATGAAGGCACTCCAGATATTAAGATCAGTTTTAAACAGAAAGCCATTTGAAACATAATTTATATAAAAGTATAAAACTCTTTTTTTATTGTTAAATTTTAATACAGAAAAAGCTCTTTGCTTTATACCTACCAAAGAAAAGAGTTGCCTATTTTTGATATGTTTAAACAAGATTACAAGTTTACTGTATGGACTGTTTATTAAAAAAAACAAGCACTGTCTGAAAAACAAACAAAAAAAACACTGCAACACACAGATACAGTGTTGCAGTTATTGCATTTTCTCTGCTTGTGAAATCTAAAGAGGATTAAAAAAACAAGAAACCGCCTCAGTTTCATAGCAGAAGAAACATGTTTACACAAATCCACAGTAAATAAATCCACAGCCTCATGAGAGAGGTGGTTTAAAACAATAATGTTGTTTATTATTTGTATTGCAGAATCTAATACATTTCAAGAATAAAATCTTATTAATCAGTTTCCAATATGTTGTTTTAATTTCATTGAGGTAGTAGGCTGTAATGCATGCAGTCCAAACACAGGATCTGGACTTGTGAACACACAGTTTCAGTTCGCTGGCAGAGTCAGGATGTATGATATCACATTAGCAATTATAGCTTATTAGACAGAATATAAAGGAAGTTTTAAACACAGGGGTCTAGTAATTATATTTACTCAGATATATTTAATTGAGTAACAATAAAATATGCACTTTTATGTTGTATGTTTATTGTGCCATACTTTTTATTTTTACTTAAGTAATATTCTTGTAAGGTATCGCCACTCCTACTCTAATAAAATCTCTCCTTTGTCCTCTGTGAGTAATTTCAGCTATTCTAAAATCAGGTAAACATGCAGTAAACAGCAGATATTAACTGTGGAAGTTTGTTACCCTGTCCTAACATATATACAGTTCTCATTGAAAAGACTGGTTTTCTAAGTGTTATTTAAATAGAACAATATATATTATTCCTTGTGCATAAATTTGTTCTTTTATATCCATGACATTTATTGTTATTCTTTAGGCATTTGAGTCTTTAAAATGCCTGAATTTATACATTAAGTTTGTTTGCCAGCATCATTTATAAAAAATTTAATCTGATGTTATTGTCCAACATTTACTCAGTACTCAAGTAGCCTTTTTACCAAAAACTTTTTTTTACTTGGGCAAAAATTTTTAAAGTACAGCTATTTATACTTGAATACAACTTTTGGGTACTGTACCCACATCTGTTTTAAATCTGTAGATACTGGTATGTCCCACTTTGAACATGTGATCTCTGTTCAACCACAAAATAAACCTAAAAAGGCTGTTTTGAAGTAACGATTTACCCCTTTGTGTTTGATAAAAATACATTTTTGGTGAGGCTAAACTGTTAGCCTTAGCTTGGTCATTGAATTGTGTCATTGTTTTTGTAAAATAAATGGATATATAAAAAAAATGTCTAGACAGAGGGCTATATTAGATATTAGTATTGTCACAAAGGGGGAGGTTTGACAGGAGGACCCAAATGCAGACTGAGCTGAAGGAGTTTACTTGAAGGTTTAATAACAAAAGTTCAACAGAGGTAAAAGTCCAAAAACATAAATCCAGCAAAAACCCAAAAATTCTGAAAACCAGGAATACTCACAACAAGAAGGGGACAAAGTAATGACAACAAATCAGCAAAGAGTGACTGAGCAGAAGGAGAATAAATGGGAGAGAGAAACAAAGAACGGGCTAAATAGCAGATTGGAAGCAGGTGTAAACAGAGGCAGGAAGGGAGCTAGGGTAAAGGAGACTGACACAAGAGGGCAAACAGGAAATATCTAAGAACTCAAATACAATCAAAAATACCTAGAACACAAGAATCGAAATAAGACCAATGAAAACTCAGAGATAAAACTTAAACAAAACCAAAACCATGACAGGTATATTGGCATGTCATTGAAATTTTGCTTTTGTTTTTTGGAACTTGAAGCCTGAGGTCATAACTTGGTTTACAAATCAAGAGGTGTAGGGTCCTCAGATCAATTTCAGAAATCAAAATCAATAACCATCCAAAGGCAAATCATATTAATCACATAAACATCAGACGAAAAACAACATTTCTGCATAGATTTAGTTTTTCCTCGTCATCTTTCCCTGTTTTAACTGATTTAAAACTTTACCCAATTAATACCTTGGGTCATAAGTCTTTTACACTTATGTTTGGGGGTCAAACCTGAATATCGTCACCTTCTTAAAATAATTGCCTAAGTCATTTTTTTCAAAAATGATTTTTTTGCCTAAATCATCTCTTCATGATGCTGGCCACCTCTGGTAAAATTGCCTACATCCTCAATTAAACAGATCATGCCATTCTACCCCTTTTGTATAATTGCCTATGTCAAGAGTGTGACTTAGGCAGTTTTATTTTTGCTTAAGTCACCAGACAAATTGACTTAGGCAATTTTAGAAGTTTTTCAAAATGGCGGATGATTCTAGGAGACGAAAATTCTACACAGCTGCTGAAGCTATTTCCAAGATTCTGGACTCTTCCCATGTTGGTAAGTGAAGATGTTTACTATAATATACACTAGGCTATCAAAATTGCATAAAATGTGATCTTTTGTGAAAATTTTAGTTTAGGAAGCTAGCTAAAAATGCTCTGTGTTAGACTGGCGGCCTGTCCAGGGTATGCCCTGCCTTTGCCCGAAGCCAGCTGAGATTGCCTCCAGCATTAACCATGACACTAATGAGGAATAAGTGGTATCGATAATAGATGGATGGATGGATGGATGGATGGATGGATGTAAGTTAGCTAAAAAGCACAGTGGAAAGACTCCAGAGTCATCTAACTAAGAAAGTTTTCAATTCTGTAATGTAATCTACAGTCTAGAAAAAATTCACAAAGGACCCTCTTTACTCGATTGATTTTAACTAATGAAAATTTCAGATGAACATAAGTAATCGTAAATGATTTGACTGGTGTTATAGTGTGCCTGTGTTGCTGTATCTAGAGGCAACTTGCAAACCATTTTGGGAATCCACAATGTATCTTAAATACAATTGACCTCAAAGGCAATTCATGTTTGTCAGAATAATCACACATTTTTGAAAGATTTGAATATTTTTTTTTCCCATTTTGGTAGGAGATGCACTTGATATTGATGACACCAGTCTGTCCTCATCTACTGAGAATGACAATGAGACCATCAATAAAGAGATGATGCAGTATGTTGATAATGATGCACCATCTGCTCCCATGGATAAAGTTAAAGATGCCAAGCAGACACATCCACACCAAGAAGACACAATATCAAATGATGATGGCGATGATGGTGATGATGTCATTCAAGATCCGGACTATACCCCAACCTGTGATGAGTCCTCTTCTCCTGAAGATGAAAACAGCCTATCTATGGTGGCAACAACTTTAGAACAGCAGGATGAGGATGTTGAATTAAAAGATGTAGGCAAAAAGAAAAGAAATAAACACCTCAGTCCAAGAACATGGAAGCAAAATGAATCCAAGCAGAAACGTCTAAAAGGAATTTCATACAAGAGCAAAAGTGGCAAAGAAATAAGTGCAAAGACTATGGGTCCTCCCTGCAACTCCAAGTTCTGTCAGCGAGTCTCAACTCGAGACTGCCAAGTCCTTACAGAAGAGCAGCGGCAGTGGGTATTTGACAAGATTTGGGCAATGAACACCTGGGAAGAACGTCGGTTATACGTCACCACTTTGGTCACAAAGACTAGCATAAAGCAAAAAAAAGTTATGGAGGGATCCCGACGCAATTCATCATTTACCTACCAACTGAAGCTTGAAGATGGAACAAGAGTTAAAGTGTGCAAGGCACTTTTTTCTTCTACAATTGGTCTCCCTGAAAGAACCATTACAAAATGGCTGGATGACCCCATCAACCCTGAAAAACAAGCAGAAGTGCCATCAAAATCTGGACCCAAAAGTGGCTGGCACAGAAAGGTTGAAACTGATGTCAAGGATTTCCTTAAGAACTGGTTGAGGGACCTGCCCAGTGTTGACTCACACTACTGCAGAAGCACAGCTACCTACAAAGACAAGAAGTTCCTTTACCAAGGCACAACCATCTCCCAACTACATCGTGAATATGGACAGGCAGCTGCAACTGCTGGAGTGAGAGCTGTTGGAATCCAATATTTCACAGCTGTGTTCCATGAGGAGAACTACTCCGTATTTATTCCAAGAAAAGATCAGTGTGATGTTTGTGTTTCATTCAAACATGGAAATATCAGTAAGGCTGCATACAACGCACATGTCACCAAGAAGGATGAAGCGAGGCAAGAGAAATCTAGGGACAAGGATTCTGCTGATAAAGAGAAGTCCGTTTGGACAATGGACTTGCAAGCTGTGCTACTGTGTCCAAAAACCCAAGCCAGCAGCCTGTATTACAAAACAAAACTGCAGGTCCACAACTTTACCCTTTTCAACTTGAGATCAAAGGAAGGCTACTGCTATGTTTGGGATGAATCAGAAGGTGACCTCTGTAGCGAGGTATTTGCACATCTTCAGTATCATCATTTTGAAGGTGTGATCAAAGGCCATCCAGACCTCAAGGAGATCATAGTGTGGAGCGACGGTTGCGGTTATCAGAATCGCAATACATGTGTAGCAAATGCATACTCTGAGCTTGCAAGGAAATATGGGGTGCTAATAACCCAGAAATACCTTCTTGCAGGTCATACACAAATGGAGTGTGACAGTATGCATAGTACTATTGAACGAAAATTAGTTGCAGATATCTTCACCCCAAGAGACTATGTCGTTGTACTCCAGGCTGCAAGAATCAGGCCATCACCTTACTATGTGAAAGTGCTCAAGCACGATGAGTTCCTGAAGCTGAATGGATCTTACTTCTTCAGCATCAGACCAGGCAAAAAAGTTGGAGACCCGACTGTGCATGACTTGCGGGGTCTTCAGTTTAGCAGTGACGGCAAGGTCCATTTCAAGCTGTCCTTTTCAGAAGACTCTGTGTGGGAAGAACTGCTACAAAGAGTGCAGGTGCCAAATGGGCCAATGGCATGGATAAGTTTGTTTCCATGTGCTCTGCCAATCAAAGAGAGAAAGTTCCAGGACCTCCAGTCAATGAAACCCATCATGCCTGTCGAGTGTCATCACTTCTTTGACAATTTGCCATACTAATAGGCATCAGACAAAAACTCAGCAAAGAAGAGCTGGAAGGAGAAGTGGAAAAAATGCACATGCCTCCTCAGCATTATGTTTTGTTAGTTTGTGCTGTAAAATTGCCTAGGTCACAAAGGCATGTTCAGAAATTTGCCTAAGTCATTTAATTCTGTCATGTTCCATGTTTGACTGACCTTGCTGTTTGTATGTCAAAAGACATCTGTTGTTACAACTTTTTTGATTAAAATTGTTCGTAAATATCATTTATTCAACAAATGGTTCAGTTTTTTGTGTTTCCTGAAAAATTGCAAAAAATGACTTAGGCAATTATTTTAAGAAGGTGACGATATTATGGAAAC